CACATTGGTGTAGTTTTATTTTCTCTGCCTGCAGTGATCCGCATCCCATGGAGAGGATCTGATCTGTAAGGATTGGTGTCAGTGCATGCCGCCCTGTGGGTTTTAATTTAAAGGGTTTCTAAAGCCTCCGGTGTTTTTGCATATATATAGATGGCTAGCAAACAGTAGATATAGGCAAAAAAAAAAAAAGCGGTTTAAACTTACCGCTGTCTTTGGCGCACTCTCCCGTCCGAGAATCTGAACATTCTCTGGCGGCATCTTGGGGCGGTCTATGGACGGCGTGCACTCGCATGCAGACACCGTGGGACAGGAAGTGCCAGCCAGAGGAGTCAGTGCAGGATCGGAGAGCCGCCGCCCCGCTGGAGGGACAGATGAAAAGGACAGGAAAGAAGAGGAAGATCGGATTAAGAAACATCATTTAAGGTAAGTGCTGACAATAACATTGGGGGAGGGGAAAAAAATGATCCTTTAATGTCACTTTAAGGGCCCATTCACGCCATTGCACTGAAAACCTGGTACTGTGCATTAAGCGCACCTAGTGTACCTTGTGCTAGTTGTGTTGCGTCGCTCTTCATTTACATGGCACCCCAGTGTACCTCACGGTTGCTGTGCGTTGCAACTGTAGTGCAATGCATGGCATCCTGTAACAGGAGTGCACCAAATGCATATACAGCTGCTTCCATTTGTAAGTCTGTGCAGCCAGACTGTGGATCCAACCATTCATGCCAGACAGCACAGGCACGTGTTCACCCTCCACTGTAGCAGCAGTACAGCTTGATCTAATACTTTAAAACAAGAGTGGGCAGCTCCGTCCCCCCGGCTGTGCTTTAAAGGAGAACTATGAGGCGAGTGATTTTCACTCAGCCTCATAATCTGAGCCGACCTGTGACAATGAAACTGTCACAAGTCGGCTCAGTAGATTGGGAAGTGAGCGAACACATACCGGCATTCGCTTACTTCTCCATCTATCCGCGCAGAGAGCCGTGACTGTCACGGCTCCCTGCAGGGATCTCTCCCCCTCCCTTGTCAGATCCTCCAGCGCTGACTGGCGGAACGGACGGGGGAGGGGGCGGGTACAGCTGGCTCTGCCTCTAGATAGGCGGAGCCAGCTGTCAATCACGCAGCTGGGTGGATCCAGACAGAATTGTCGGGATCCGTTCCGGCTGCGGCGTCTCAGTATATAGGGAGCTGTAGCTCGCGGTATACTGAGCCTAGGGTGACGGGAGGACGCTAGTTTGTGTCCTCCCGTTACCCTTAGGAGAACTATGGGGATCCCATAGTTCACCTTTAACTACAAATGCCAACATGCCTCTGCCTCTGGATGTCATGTCTGTAACTGTCGGTCTTACAATGACTCATGGGACTTGTAGTTCCACAGCTGGAGGACTGGGGTTACCCACGCCTGATTTAAAGGGTTAAAGAAATAAACACCATTTTGTTGGCTTTTCCGATGCAGATTCAAGTCGGATTCGAGACGATTATTACATATAAATGTGACGAGGGCACTTGAGAGCTTTTAAAGTTTCGGCGCCGTTCGGCTTCCCGCCAATCGCCGATATGCCGAATGCTGAGACGGCGGATTTGTCTCCTGTCACTGGAACCCACCAGTTAGTTGTGCGCGTCCTTTTTTTCCCCTCTCCCGGATACATGGCGATCGGCGGCTCGCCGCTTCCTTCTCCTCCGCAGTCCTCTCCTCCCATATCCTCTCGCTTCCCCTGCGCCGAGCACCTCGGGGAGTCGAGGGATTAAATATGTAATGCCGTCTTTTAATTATAAGATAAGTGGGAGCCCTGACACTGTAATTAATGACGCTCCTGTGAGTAATGACATGTTGCTTAATATATCATGCGCAGCTCCTCGCACGCTCACGCTGAGCCGCGTTAACTCTTTGCCCGATGAAACGCTGACGCTGCCTCGTGGGAGGAGATCCGCCGCTTCCAGCCGCTTAGAACCTCCGATCGGCAACGGTGGGATTTTTTTGTTTGTTTTTCGAGCCGTATGACTAATCCGTCTAGCAATGGAGATAAATGGGCCATGTAGGACTGCGGTGAGATAAATACGTGGGCTTTGTTTGCTGAACTCTCCTTTTAAAACGGGGACCCGGGGAGCGGGAACAAGTATCCAAATCAAGATTCTTAAAGCTGAACTCCGGGCGCAGAAAGTTCCTGTTAAATGTATTCCTCAATAGCCACATAGGATATGAATCCACTTTGGATATTACCTTGTAAAAGTAGCTAGGACATCATCACTGTGCTGTACATAGCCTGTGCATAGAGCAGAGTTGTGGGAGGGAACTAGAAGGCCCCACCCATTGCACAAGGGGGCGGAGATGAGACCAGTCACCCTGCACAAGGAGAGAGAGAGAGCAGCAGTGAGCGGTCTTTATTACAGGAGGGGGCGGAGACAAGACCAGTCACCCTGCACAAGGAGAGAGAGCAGCAGTGAGCGGTCTTTATTACAGGAGGGGGCGGAGACAAGACCAGTCACCCTGCACAATGAGAGAGATCAGCAGTGAGCGGTCTTTATTACAGGAGGGGGCGGAGACAAGACCAGTCACCCTGCACAATGAGAGAGATCAGCAGTGAGCGGTCTTTATTACAGGAGGGGGCGGAGACGAGACCAGCCACCCTGTACAAGGACAGAGAGCAGCAGCAGTGATAAACACACAAGCCCATTGAATCTCACTCATGCACAGACAGAGATCTGGCACCATGCCTTTCACATTATCTGACCATGCCGACTCCACTTTATTTCTCACCGACCATGTTATAGACCAGGGGTAGGAAAAAGCATGGCCCATCCAGCTGTGGTGCAACTACAAATCTCATGAGGCATTGCAAGACTCTGACAGCCACAGGCATGACTCCCAGAGACCAGATGCATGATGGGATTTGTAGAATCACCATAGCTGGAGGGTCAGAGTTTTTCCTACCCCTGGTCCATAACAAGGTCGGTGGAGTCGGCATGAAAACGCACCTTTGTTGGCTTTTGGCCAGGGAAGCAAAATTTCAAACCAAAGCGTTCTATGAAACCGCCAGTTCTAGCCGTCTCCGGCT